TCACCTAATGGTAAAATCTGCAGAACAGGCAAGAGACTGGGTAAACTCTGCCAGGTGAAAAAAGTAGAGAACTTTTTATTAAGGAACTTCACTTTTTATTAAAAGGAGAAATTCTGATTTCACAGGACCTGTGTGAACAAAACAGCAGTTACCACTGTGTTCCTAAAGCAGCTGTATAGATATGCTCACTTATTGCAGGTCCTTCTTTCCACCTCTTGTTGCATGGGCTCTTTTCTTGATTACATGCTAAAGATGTAGTTAAGCTACTAAAATATCTGGCCTTGATTCAGTGAAGATTTAAGCACATACTTAGAATGAAACACTTCCAGTGCAGAGTCTGTTGTGTGAACTCCCAGGTATTTGCTTTTGCTTTCATACTGCAGTGTGTCTCTGGTGAATATCCTGAGACCAAGATAGTCTTTTTCATTAAAAAGTTTTTTTTTCTTTTTCTTTCAGTCCTGCCATTTTTTTTAGAAAACAGCTGTATTCTTCAACTTAATTGAATCCCCAAATTAAATCCCAGTTGGCTCTGTAACTCATTGCCAAACTCTTCCCTCTTTTTCCCTCTGCTGCTTTTTTTCACATAGGATCTTACTTTTTCTCCTAAGGAAGAATAGATACAATATATTCTTCCTTCTGTGACTCTCTTCCCCCTCCCTTCCCCTAATTCTTTCTCTTTTCCTCCGCTGTCAGAGCAGCAGGAGTTTCTTGTCTACTTTCCATCTCTACCCCTTCCACTTGCCCCACTGACCCCATGTTCTGTTCTTCCTCTTATTTATACCCTCCCTTATTCTCTTTCTTAACCTCTCACTGTCCTCTGGCTCTTTTCCACTGCAATATAAGCAAGCATTTGCCTCTTAAAAATTGCACCTTTGACCCTACTTGGTTCTTCATATCATATCTCATCGCCTATCTCTTCTTCATTCCTAAGCTCATTGAAGGCGCTGTTTATAATTACTGTCTGGAGACCCTCTTCTGTGATTCCCTCCTATAACTCCTACACTTTGGCTTCTGTTCCTTGCTTGCAACTGCAACAGCTCTCGCCAAACTCCCTGATGACAATATCTTAGAAACAGTAGTCTATCCCTATTCTTCTTGACTTGTCAGTCATGTTTGCTAGAGTGTCCAGACTCTTCATTACACTGTTGTCTTTTGTTGCTTTCTGTGCCTCTGTCTTGTTAATTTTCTTCTTTCTAAGCAGTTCTTAAGCATGTTCTTCAAAGTTGTCTTCAGTTTTAGAGGGGTGTAGGTGAAGGTCTTGGGGCTCTGCTTTGGCTGGATTTTCTTGTGCTTTTAGTGCCTTACAGGTTATTTCATACATGAAAAAATACATGTCATCTATAGATAACAGATACACCTTCCTATTGAAACCTATTTCCTCTCACTTAAGCTTATTAATTTGTAACCACTCAAATGCAATTACAAAGCATCCCACCTAGTGCTGTCTTAAGTCTAGATGTCTTGGCAAATGCCCAGACCAGAGACATGATTTTCTTCCCACTTTCACATAGACATGCACATTTTCTCCTTTCACATGCTAGGCTCTCTGTACCCCTTCTAGCTGTACTCAGCCCTTGCCTGAATCTGTCCCAGCTTGCCTTACTTTTTCTACAAATGACTCAAATTGTATCTCTTTAGATATTAGGAATTTAGATATTAGGAAGAATTTCTTTACAGTGAGGGTGGTAAGACACTGAAACAGGTTGCCCAGAGACATTGTGGATGCCCCCTCCCTGGAATGTTCAAGACCAGATTGGATGGGGCTTTGAGAAACCTGGTCTAGTGGGAGATGTCCCTACCTGTGGCACGGGGTTTGGTCGAGATGATTCTTTTATTTCCAATAAAATATAGCAAGACCTTGTCAAATGGAATTAATATTTTATGTCCTCTACTAAAAATGCTTATCCTGATATATGTTTGGAGAGCATTTTACTCTATTACATCCTTGTTTTAAGCATTTCACTTTCTTTGTCATTGCCATCAACTGAATCCCATTTCTATTGCTCCTGTCCTTCACAGAATCAGAGTGCTTTTTTTTAATTGACATTACCAAGAAATTTAATGTTATCACCACATCTCTATTTTTCATGCCAATTCATTAAATTAAAATTAAAATTAAAATTCTGCCAAGCTCATCTTTGATGAGTTCTACTGAAAAACAGTTATTTCATTCTCCACAGGACTTTGTTCTCTCTCTGGTAGGAAGCTCTTTACCTGTCACATTCTTTTAGTAATCCCTATTTTCTCCAGTATAATATTGAGTGTCAGATGTCCAGATAGATTTTATCTATCATATTTTCCTTGTTTAAAATGTCAGTCTAGTCGCAATGGTGCAAGCATGCAGAGAGTTCATAATTTCAAACAGATTTGTACGTTGTAGTAGGCAGATTCCTCTGGTCACCACATACTTTCATACCTCAGCAGGCCCAGCTGAATTATGTGAGCTCAGGCGAGTTTCTGCTTGCTGGTGTGAACCACAGGGAGTATTCTCTTGTTCTCTAGATACCTTTTGGCCTGCTTTTGCTTTTGTTTGCCCTACGCCATTCCAGATGTCATTCATGCTGCATTATCACTACCAAATGCACATCTCTTGATCTAACATATGTAGCCATTAGGAACATGTAAAGATATATGTAATTAAAAGGAACATGTGCCCATACATACTGTATGTTTTGTATTTACTTTGAATTTAGTACTGTTCTTGCTCAATTCATAGTAAGTGCTGTGGCTGGTGTTGCAAAATAATTCAGTAAAATTCTGTGTATTCACTAGCTGTAGGTGCTGTAGTATTATGTAAAAAGTAATCCTTTGGGTCTGAATTTTTTCATGCTTGGTTTCATTTGAAAAACTGTGTATGCATAAAGAAAGCTAAGGAAATTATCCTGGATTGTTTTTGAGTTATGTGTCACTGTCATATGTTTTTGAGTTATGTGTCACAACACAGGGCAGTGTTTAACTGTTAACAGTAGCTACTTTTTTGTCTTTAATGTAGATAAGAAAATTTAGAATTTTGAAACCTAAACAGTGATGTCCAAACGGGGTGATATATAATGAAGTCTATGGCCAAGTTTCAAAAACCTGTTTTTCATAATGACAAAGATAATTGAAATCATGCCTAGTAGACATCTGTACTAAAATTATGAGCAGAATGTAATGGACCCAACCACTTTTGATGAAACAAAATTCATTTACATTTCTTTGTCAGGGCTAATCAAGTTCTTTTTTAGGTTCAAGGTTTGCATAATTCTTACTGCTATTTCCAGTGTGCCAACACCATACCTTCACATAAAGGATTGAATATGTTCTAAACATTAAAATGTTGACATTTTTTTCACAACTTGTTTTTGCCTGTTGCTCATCCTAATTTCACATTCTATCAATCAGTTTCTCCTTCCACTGCAAAGAAGCAATTCATTCTTTACCCTACGAACCTTGACTACATACAAACTGGCATCTGTTCAATCTCATTTGAATTATACAGTGTATAATTTTACATTATATCCTTCAGTGTTGAGGGAAAGGGAATGATGTGGGATCGAGGAAGGCTCTTGTTCTTCTATTAAGCAACTGAGCAACCTCCCACTGGGACTGTGTCTCTGCCTGCCTCTGAATCTGTTGTAAATCCCTCTACCGCCACACTTATTTTGATTTTCAATGGTGGTTTCTGGTTAGTTTAATCCTATCCCTAATCAATTTAAGGTAAACAATTAGAAGGTTAATTGGAATTTCATGGCTCTTAATTGTAATTTAAAAAAAAAGAAAATTTAAATCAAATTCTATGCTAAAACAGCAATTAGACTGAACAATGGAGGCTTGCTTGTGGCTTTCAATTTCAGCTGATAGCTGCTGAGAGACAGAGTCTGGCTTCTCAGTTTCTTTTTGTCCCAAGGCATACCTAAAGTACAGCTTGCAACAGAGCTATAATTCTTCTTGGGCACTGAGACAGAAATGCCAGTACAGAGATAGAGGGTGAAAGCTACCCGATTCACCAAAATTCTAATTACATATGTGATAGTGAGATGGTTATAAGTTGCTTGTGTCCATGTGTTGCTCTATGGTCCAGGTAGCTGGGACAAGGGAAAAAAAAAAATCTTCCTTTGAATACCTTATGTGGGCCAGACAAAGCAAAACCTGAGCTGACTCTTACAACTTCAGAAGCAAATACCAAGAAAAATTAAAGTCTCCTGCAGCAGCATTAGCTTGGCTGCATTGCCAGTCCTTTACAACTTGTGATATACATTGAGCATAAATAAAGCTATAAATCTCTGTTCTGTGATTTAAAAAGAAAATTGATAAACCTGTTTTCATCTGATGTAATTTTAACTATTCATTCTAATATTTATTCTACATTGACTGGCTTAAATAATCAAAATTATATTTAATCTCTTTTTTTAATGTAACATGGATGAATACAGATACACATGTATAGAACAGAAGTATCTTTGTGTGTTCTTTTTATTATAGGTATGTGTCATGTGCATTGGGATGCCCATATGAAGGAAACATCGTACCAGCTAAAGTGGCAGAAGTAAGAGTGAACTTCTGGCTTGTCTTTTTAACAAATCAAAAATACATTTTAAAATGTCTGTAAGTAATGTTCTCTACTTAATCCTAAAAAGGTTTTTAATGGATAAAGTTTAAGGAAAACAAACTCAAACCATAACTAATACTAAAACTGAGTGCATAACCTCAGTCAAATCTAAGGAAAACATTGTTTTTCAACCGTTATCAGTCATGTGGAAAAATATTATGTGACATTTCCTCCAATGAGAAGGTAAGGAAATGCTTAAGGAAATAGACTCAAGTACATATGTCAATGGACCATGTTGTACGACATGATTTGCAGCACAACCTCTTGCAAAGGGTATCTGCTTTTTAAATCCATTTTATGCCAACATAATCAGACTGTGCTGTCAGCTGGTAGAGCCTCTGCTACAACGTTATGGTGAGAGCCATGATTAACACATGAACCAAAACTCATCCTCAACATGATTTCCTACTACTTCATTTACTCTACTGCTATGGTGGAATAAGATACACCTTCCCTCCACGCCCCTTTTCTTATTTAGGATAAAGGGGAAGAAAGACAATGTCTTTATCAGGCCTTTTTTTTCAATAGACAAAGAGATGACTGAAACACAAGTGTTAAATTTTGCAGGAAGGTAAGAGGGCATGAAAGCTGAAATAGACAGTAGAGAAGAAAGTGAAGAGAATTCAAGAGACACAAGGCAGATTGTGCTGGCCTTCTTCCTGAAGAAAGACTTGTCTTTGTTACACTTGATCACCTACTTTTGGTGATCTAGCAGAATCTCCAAAACACTTTTTCTTTTCTTTGTAGTGCTAGCAGCTAGTCAACATTTGTCTGATGTATTGTGTTCTGCGTGTGTGGCTTTCGAGTTTTCTTCTCCTGCATCTTCTTCTAGTGTATGTACCAGATGGAACTTGTGATAATAATTCTCCCACAGCAGCCACATATACTCACACTCTTTGAAAAAATAGCTGAATTGGAAGGTACTCGATATTTCTAAATTAATTTGGTTTAATATGAAGTGAAAGTTAGAAGTGACACAGCTTTAGTTAGAGCGGTGATGACAGATTCAGCTGTGCTGTTGGTAGATTGCTTACTGCAATATCATGTTTCCCAACAGGCTTCTTTCCATGTGTTGCTCATTTTTTAAAACTAACTAGTCTCCTTGCACAGAAGAAGTCCTTTTCAGTTTGCCAGTGGGAGCACTATTTAATTTTACAAACCTGCAAACTTTGACTCACACAACTATTTTATTTTATGTCTTTTTCCTAGTGTCTTCTTGTGTATCTGTTCACCATTATGTATGTGTTTAAGAATAAAAGCTACCTCACTGAAGTTACTGAGGCCCTGATTCAGCAAGCACTGATGTTTATATAGAAGCATCTGATTAGCTGTTAATGGATTTTACATAAACACGTGCACTCAACCTTTGCTGAATCAGAATTATCAACTGGCCATGTTGCTACACTCTTT